GCAAAAGGAACGGTAGCAAAACAGGTCTTAGGATGTCGTCGACGTACCGCTGTGCAGTAAGTGTACCTCTAATGACGACCAAAGGGGTCCGGCTGTCAAAGGAAATGGCACCCCAGACCATAATGCCTTGTTGAGGGCCGGTGTGGCGTGCAATAGTGAAGGCAGGATCCCCCCTCTGCCCTGTGCGTCTCCAAACACGTCTTCGATGATCGTCAGGACACAGTTGGAAGAGGGATTCGTCGCTAAAGACTATACGTCCCCAGTCGGCTTCATTCCAGCCTGATCGAGCGTCGATTTTGCTCGTCTTAGTGCGTCGATTGTTTTGTCATAGAGTGTATTTTGGACATTCACTAAAGCGACTTTGTGATTGTGGACATTTACCAGTGAAAGTCGACATTCTCTCGATTTCTGTTATTCACGGTAACATATATATATATTCATCCTACCTATGTATTCAACACTCATCACAACTTCCTGATAATTGGTTCGAATCTTCTTGACCATGCAGTCCAGCGGCGTGCGGTGCATCTGAGGACTCGCTTCTTCTGAAGGAGGCAAGGCTGGTGACTTCGGTGGCTGCCGAGTAACTCACAGCCCTCGACGAGCCATTCATTAATCGACAGTACTCGTAGTACTCGCGAGCACTACACAGAGGAGTTTCAATACCATACGTACTGTCGAACTTCCTGTAACATAAGAAAAAAATGTGTAGATGAGAATATCTCATAAAAAAACAGATATTTTGCAATACTTTGAAATAAAAATATACAATTTACTTGATAACAAGCTTCTAGTTAAAATGGCATCTACTAAGCAATGACATAAAGAACACTCCTGCAAGAAAATGGTTGGTAGATTGTACGAGAAAATGCGTGTACGGTATTAAAAATTGCACAAGGACAAAAAAAAATGTTTGCTGTACAGTAGAAAATGTGAAGGGAGTTAGTTAACGTTAACACAAAAATATTTTACAAAAAAAATTGATTTTTTTTTATAATTATTATTTTTTTTGTTATCTACATTTAAATTATAAAAACTAATAAAATCCATATAATGAAGAAAATAATTTTAACGAATTATTAGCATTTTAGTTTAAAAACTTGTTAAAGTTTATTTAGAAATGATTTTACCATTGATGTTTTACATAAAAATGGCAAGGGATTGCTGAAATTGATTAAAAACAAATTGGAATTGATTAAAGATAAGCTAGGATTGATTAAAACTAATTTAGGATTAATTTTAAAAAATGTGCTTTTTCTCAGTTTTTGCGTTTTAAAGTTTTTTTTTTGCAATGAGTTTTGTTTTGAATTGTAGCTCATTAGTAAAATATTTTATCACTAAACTGACTGGCTTCATTTAATAGATTTTGAACTGTCCCATATTTTCTAGGTAGCTGAATATTCGAATTTGTTTAAAGTATTTGGTATTTATTTAAACCGTAATGAAAGTATTTCAAATTTACTTACCAGTAAGAATAATTAGATCATTAATTAGATCATTAATTATATCATTAATTACTTTTATAAAATTAATTATAAATATAACGACAATAGAGTGATAAAAATTATAAAATGATTTTTAAAATTAAATATTTAGTGTTACAGACGTAACAAAAAGCTTCAAATTTTTAAAAAAAAATTTATTTTCTGAAAGTAAGTAAAAATTGGAGTTAGAGAAAGCTATTTAAAAAAGACATATATATTATTATGAGTGCATTATATCAGTATAACTGAGTTACATGCTTTTAAAGTCAGCAAATTCAGCATCCGTAAATAGTTGGAATCGCTCTTAAATAGAAAAGAAAAGAAAACGTTATCAAACTCTTAATTTTTGAGGGAAATATAAGAGCAAAGAAAAAATTGAAGTAATCAAAAAAGGAAGTATTTTAGGTTGTAGCATAAATCTTTTTATACTAATTTGCAATCTCTAATGAGCATAATTATTTTATTTCATTTTTAACAAGAATCCAAAATATTTTTAGGTGTATTTTAATTATTAAAACAAAAACAGTATAATAGTTACTAAAAAAAGCTGTTATATTATCGGAAATATATTTGTACTAAAATAAAAAATCCAAAAATAGTTAGAATTTTTTTTTGTTATTCATATTCAAAAATTTATCAATAATTGATCTTGAAAATTAAAGAAATTTCTTAGATCTAAATAACTGCAAATAAGTGCAAATTTGGAAAAAAAATATTGTTTGTAAGTGTGCCGTGCTTAGAAAATTTTACATTTAACGCAAAAAAAGTGTTTCACGATGTATTTCATAACCATAAATTACTAAAATGACTAACATAATACTTAATATTTGACCTAAATTAAAACAAAACTATAAAAAAATATATTTTGAAAAAATTCTGCATCAAAGGGTTAAATTTTATTCTTAAAAATACCTTAAAAACATATTTATTATGTTATAAGAATAGGAAATAGATTTGCCTTTACATCCACCCTATAACATTGATTATTTGACGGTTATTACATATCTGCCAACTTCCACTTTTTCCGAGAATGGATTTTCCAAGTGGTAGTAAAACATTTATCGAAAAACCATCTTACTCCAAAAATATATTTATCTTTCAACCAGGTAAAAATTCGCCACCATTGAGATTATCGTGCTTTTATATATTTGTTGTAATTATTCATATGTAGAGTGGTGGTCAAAATCATTTATAATTATTATTATAATTCGAAAAGCTTAATGGAAAAACATGAGTTTCACGACCACTTTAAATATGAAAGAAAAAAGAAAATCTCCCGGAAGAACCGTAAGAATTGGCAGCTTTGTTATTACGGCAATACCAAAACATTGAAAGTTATTGTGACTATCCCAAAAACATTCATAATTTGAGAGTGAATTGGATATTTCATACCTATAATCAAGTAGGAATTCGCCCGTATTATCGTTGTAGCAGACCATTTGTTCAAAGCGATGTCCCCACAAAATCTCTGTCGGGATGTAGGAGGTTCTTGCCTGTATGGCTTGTCCTGTGGACTCTATAGTACCCTCCAGGGCAACCACTAGTTCGTACGAGTCGCTCAAGATATCTTTGGCACACATGTTGTAGAATGGACTCGATTCAGTGATCTCGTGGACGATGGTCGCCGGCCAGATGAGGAAGACTCTATCTCCAACATTATCAAACCGCACCTGCATCATAATATGTAGCTTTTGTTTAATATAAGGAAAACACAATTGAAACATCAGTAAAGTGAATTGAATAATAATGATGAATAAAAGCAACCTTATTTATCGAAGAACGTTCATAAAATAAATTTTGCTACGCTATTTTCGTAAGAAAGCTTTATGACAAACAGAAACATAAAATATCAAAACAAAGTAATAACTCTTAGATTTTGTTGTTTCTAATGCCACTTGCCAATCCAGCAAGCGGCTTGGTGAGACCAAGTGTATTTAAGGCAGAGGGTACGTTTCTTGTTTTTTTTTTCAGTGGCGCAATCTGTGGTCAAAATTACGACTTCAGCCACACACACGTCACACCCCGTTTATAAGGCGGACCCATTCATGCATAAATTCGTTCAATCATCCACAGATCGTTATTTTGACCTGAACCAGAGAACGTTCAATCTCCAATTCAGTACCCCCAGAGGTATGATTTGCTATGGGAACACAGAGGATTTTATGACTTGATAGATTTAATGTGAGCCAGTCACCATTTGTTACACAGGGAGTCTTCGGCTGGTGGGGATCGAACTCACGCCCTCTTGGACACGGACTCAATGCCCTACCAAACAGATTATTCCTTTGCATGATTGCCACCAACATTAATTTATTTTTTGCAGGGTTACCGGATTTTATCTATGCTAAAAAAAGCCGATCTGGTTTATTTGGTTTAAGCCACCTAAAAAAGATCTTGCGATCGCTAATATATTAGCAATCGCAACGCTCGATTACGCCGTTTGGGGAGAAGACCGATTCCAGCTGTATAGGAATGTACTACGATATTTTACCCTTTCTTAATATTTTTCGTATTTAACTAACAAAATTTTTTTTTTTATATTTCCATGACGATTTCATTTAGAACTATATTCAATGTAGTTTCCAGTTTCATATAGTTTCCTAACTTAAAACTATTAGAATATCAAGACAGAAACTAACGTATTTTTTTCTCTTTTGATTCTCCGTATGCTAATGGTGGAAGCAAGCGATGGGTTGCCATAGGTAATGAGTTCTTCTGTATGCCACCTGTAGCCGATTTCGATCGCCAATGGGAAAAGTTTAAATTTCAGATATAAATATTGAACATATCATAACGCTGTAATTATTGCATTTGATATTTTATTTTACAACGCTCAGTTTTTTGTTGTAAAAGGCATTTGATACATAAACTTATAATCACACGTTAAAATAAAAACAAGCATTCTTTAAACTGAAAAACAAAATTTCCACGTCCCAAAATAATATTGTAAAAAGATCAATAATTAAATAATAAAAGAAAAACGCAAAAAATATCGTGAATAACTTACATCGATTTGTGTGTGGTAGTAGGGTATAATTTCTCCTTCTGCAGTGAGTTTCCTGCGAATCACTTGTGCAGTCACTTGTGTTCCTATGATATGTGATTTTCGCATGTCTCCAACTCTCCACATCAGGCATAGAACGCCATCTCTTAAGCAGACGACAGCGTAACGACTGAACATTAGGGTTTGGCTTCTTTTCTTGGGCCTGGCTATTTTGGCAAATACCATGCCAGCCACCAGACACTGTATCATGACACCAGTGACTGACTGTATGCACATCATGAAGACACCTTCCGGGCACTCTTCGGTTGTATATCGGTAACCATAACTGAAACGAAAACCACATTTTAATGAAAAGTTGGCGGAATAAAACTAGATCATTGGAACATATAGTTTTCAGTTATTTATTAAAACATTAATGGATTGATTTTGCTATATAGCATAATAGCCGAAATCGATTAAATGGTGCTGGAAATTGTGATTGATGCAAGTTAAAAGAAAAATTTTGATTGCAAAAACGCATAAAATGGGGGAAAAGGCAATGGGATATCTGCAAGTGACGTAGTGTGGGTCTCACGATCCTGATTGGCTGTTGAAACGTGACTTTTGTTTAAGTTAGCAACTGTTCTTTTCATTCTGTTCGAGAAAGTCAAGCCCGTCAAGTATCAATTTTCTTGGATGACACATTTTACATTCTTTCACAAATATTTAAATGTTTTACTATATATTTCTTACGTAACACAAAGACAGGCACGAAGCCATGCAGAAGAAACAAATTAATTATGCATCGAAGTTGCCAGGTACACAAACAGAAATATATCACGGTAACAATAAAATACATAAACAAATAATAAATCTAAGTTATATAAGAGACGTAGACGAGAAAGAATTATATTTCAACAAATTCCATGTGTGATACGGGTTAATCAACATTATAACATATGTGGAGAAGATTAGCTCAACTTTAACACGTCTTTTTGCTTTTAACGATCCTCTGCCATTGACGTATAGGTCAGATGTGTGGGTAAAGTGATCTTCTTGAAGTGCAAATACCCAATTGTAGATCGTAAAATCGGAAGTTTTCATTAAAGTGTGTGATCGATTTCTAATGAGACGATCCACGTTCAAATTCGGGGGATGGCTGCTCCATTCATATATTGCTTCTGGCGCGCAACGACCAAAAATACTCCCTCCCCAGTGGCAGCTCGATTACAAGTTCGAGTTCTCTTGGATGAAGAATTAACGGAACAGCCAATTGGCAAACAATTGGTGAATTATAATTATCAAATTAGTAAATTAGAGAGTCAGTGACTAGTGAATAAGCTTATTAGTGATCTGAGAAATCAGAAAGAGTGAATCAGTTAATAAATATGTGAGGACTTCAAGACTTAGCGAGGCTTACAAAAGCAATATAAATAAGGAAGAAAACAAGATGACATGAATCGAAAATGTGAAAAACGCGAAATGAAAATTTATTTTAATTTAGAACAGTACTAGACTGGCTTTTGGTTTTGTAGGATAAAATTTGGGTAATAGTTTATAATCGGGGGCCGATTTGCAAATAAACGAATATCTATGCAAATAAACCAAGAACCAATCACATAAAAGTAAGCAAAAGTTGCGGTAACCCAACCGTGACGTCATTGACAGCAAAGTATATCGTGTCATCAGAACTATGATTTCAGCAAAACTGAAAGAAAATTATCGCCATATCATGCCCCCCCCCTCCCGATTCTACACTAGAGCCGAAATGTGTTTTATAAATATTTTAAATGCGGTTTAATAAATAAATAAATATGTTTTTTTAATTAGCTATTATGTTTTACGAATTCATTAAATTACATCTTTAATTTAATTATTATGAATCTGTTAGTTTAGAGCCAAATCTCCCAGTTGTTCCCGAACAAAATAAAAGAATTAATAATTTGTGGTACTGGTAATAAGATGTTAATTTAAGCATAATATAGTTTTAAAAAAATGTAAAGTTTGCGACTGGAATAAATGCTAATGACCAAACATTTACAGTGTTTTCTAGGGTTTTGGTACTAGTTTTTTTATTCTTTCATTACACAATGCAAAATTCACAATGATAATACAATGCCAGATAAATCGATACCCTTTTCATTTTGCATGATTTATTACGATGATCTTAAAAGAAAATATTCATCATGACAATAAAAGTTAAAGTCGTCGATGTACGATTAGAATCTAACGACTATTTTGAACTTTACAATCATGATTTCCGAAACTTTATTCATTTATTGTCAACGTAACGTAAAGTAATGACTGATTATAATGAAATTTCAGATGACGTAGGTTTTAACTTTTTGTACCACTCAATCATAATCTCTTCATGCGAGTCATAAAACAGTAATTGAAGTTCTATTAAAAGTAGGCTTCGCGCGGCAATAATTTAGAAATAAATAATGATAACATAATAAGCCGATAAATTAATGATATATATATTAAATGTTTTTAAACTATTATATAGTGTGACTATTATACCTGATGGTAAGAGTCTGGTTATCACGAGATGGACCCGATTAATCATGTTTGTTTTTGTAAGATTTGGTGTTTATTTCGTGATTGCCTGATAATAGTCTTTTCAAAACTATTCATAGATACTGATATATGAAGAAAAAAAATATTTCAAGTTGATACAGTTTGGAAATGTTGAGCCATAAAATGACCTAATTAAACCTATAAAAATCAGTTTATGTAAGTGGATGCATGTAAGAAACCAAAATGAACTGTTAGATTTTTAATTGTTTTTTTCTTTTTAAACTAATGACATAAGGATTGCAGTAGCCTTCACCACAAATCCAAATCTTGTGATGTCATGGAAAGTCAAATGAATCTGAATGGTTTTTAATGAATAGTGACAAAAATAAAAATGTTAGTCATTTTTAGGATTTATGACACGTGGATTCTTTCTATCGGAAGACACAATGCACACTAGTGTTCTTACAACACGTATTTAACCAAAATAAATATTCTAAACAACCTAATTTCTACTTACCCAATAGTGTGCTGACTTTCCACAGAAAAAAGGAACGCCGTCACAAAACTGTGCACATTCTCCACGCAGGGCTTCCACGCATCATCATCCTCTGTATGTTCAAGATCCCCATGGGCAAATGCAATTAAATACCACAGTACCGCAAAGAACACCCAACTGGCAAAAAATCCCATAGCGAACACCAGTAGGTTCCAGCGCCACTGAATGTCCACCATAGTCGTGAAGATATCTTGCAAATATCGTTGTCCTCTTTTGGACACATTTTCACGTGATATATTGACACCACCATTCTTCAGAATGACCCTCTTCTTGTGTCTCCGGACAATTCTGGGACCACAGAATCTGGGTGAGAGGGGTGTTCTCTCTTTGGAATATCCATTAAGGCACATGTTTCGAGGGACGGTCGAACATTTGGTGAGAGTTCCATTCGAAGTGAGAACACAGTTTTCGGTCGGGGTGGGAGAGTCACTCTCGATTGGCACTTCAAGATCTTGCCTCGGCAATAGCTGCCAGACAGCACTTTTGTCTTCGTCAATGCACTTCATTTGTGAAGTGGTTATTGTTTCCAAACCAGTGGAAAGGGAAATAGTTCTAGAACGTTATTGCTAACAGTAGTCTTTGAGCAAATAATTTACAGGAATAATAAAAAGGGAATCACTTTTCAGTTTCGTTGCTACCTCATTCTTGGAATATAAAACACATTAGATCACAGCTTTTGCTTATCCTCTTCATCCGAGGTGATTGAGGTCGGGAGCTGAAAAAGATGAATGCTATTAAAACAATTTCTAATCAAATGATACCACAACTCTATTCAATGTTATTTGTAATATTATCAATTTTAGAACCAATTCTAAACCTGAATAAAAGCTGAGAAGTACCTCTAACACATTTTTTAAAATAACTATACCCGATTGAAGATAAGTTATGCTTCGTGTGACATACGAATAAAAGCTGAACATCGTGATAAATTGATTCCCTTATTTGTGCTATATTCACGTTTTATATTCTAGTTAATAAGTTTTTAAACAATAATTAATCAATGCACTAATTAAATAACGTTTTTTTCGAATGCAAAATGAGATTTAACTGTTTTATTTGATTAATTTGTTTTATCACACTCTCGAATTATACAAACATTTTTGGAACTGCTTAAATGAAAAAACTATTGTAACGGTTCTTAACTCTTGAATGTAAGCTTATGGGAATAGGGTCTATAGATGAAAGTCAGCATTTCCATGGAACTATAACGTAGAATAACTACAAAATCTTATGTGATAGATTTTGAAAGACAGCAAACGCTGATAAAAGAGCCCAATATTATACGCATATGTCATGATTAAAAATATTCTTTAAAAAGTGCTTAAAAAATGTAAAGCGGATTAACGGTTTTTAACTTTTTTCAAGATGTAAGCTCATAAGAATAGGGTCTATAAATGAAAGTCAGAATTACCATAGAATTACAACATGAAATAACAACAAAATCTTATGTGATATATTTTGAAAGATAGTAAATGGTGCTGATAAATGATCCCAATATTACATATATTTTTTTTTTCGATTAAAAATATACTTTTTAGTGCATATTTAGCACTTGAAATGCAATTAAAGATGCCTTGCTTCTTTAATTGCATGAACTCTTCTTATAAACGTAAATTTGTAAACATCAACAATTTTAAGATATATATTGATCACATACTTTATAATAAAAACATGATAATTTTTTATATGTTCAATAACATAAAACTCCAAATTTTCTACTGCAGCCGCTAAAATTANGTTATCCGGAATAGCGATGGTCCCGATCGTTCCGGATAATCGGTTCCCTACTGTATTACACATATTTTTTTTCGATTAAAAATATACTTTATCTTGCGGCAAGTGCATATTTAGCACTTGAAATGCAATTGAAGATGCCTTGCTTCTTTAACGGCATGAAGTCTTCTTATAAAAGTAAATTTTAAGATATATATTGATCATATACTTTATAATAAAAACATCATAATTTTTTATATGTTCAATAACATAAAACTCCAAATTTTCTACTGCAGCCGCTAAAATTACAAATTTTTGAAGATGACGCACGCAAGAATAGTTTATGTACGTAATCTCTAATTATTACGATACAATCAGTGACGCACACGGATCAGTTGGTGTCTTGATTTAACAACTTCAACTCGCGTGTTGTATTTGCATGTATTCATTTTTCGTATTTTTTACAAACATTAACAGGCAAAAGGACAAAGTAAAAAATAAATAAAAATACATAAAATTGCATAAAATAAATATTGCCCTTGAACTTAAAGAGACGAGCGTGAAAAAAAAGCACGTACTTCAATAAAGCATTCGGATGTATATCATCTTGAGGACATCTAATTCTTTTAAAAAATTACGATAGCCAAACAAAAAGGAAGGACCGTATTTCCGGTAATCGACTTCCGTTCCGATAAACAGTAAGGGATGGTCAGAATTGAGAAAACAAACACAGGGTCAGATTAAATGTTTCTATAAATGGAACAAAAAAATTTAGACACATTGCGTTTAAGCTGTACAGAAAAATAAAATCAATTTTTTCCGCGATTCACTGTTTATAATTTTTATTCCTTCATAAAGATGAGCTTGCATGAATGATAGATCTTGGAAATGATGGATGGATGAGCGTGAGTACGAAATATGCTTTCAAGCTTATAGCACATATTTTTACAATCCCAAATTTTTAGTCATCGAAGGAAACGGAAATTATCCACCGCCCTTGAAGTAACATTGCAATAACCCACTAAGTTTTCTTTAAAATTATAAATAAATATTTTATAGATGAGGTAGCATGTCATCATAATAATTTCAAGATGAATAAAATGAATCAGAGTCCGAAAACCAGTCATCTCAGTTTTTTCTTCTTCCAAAATTGAGATTCTTACATTTTTAAGTTTAAGTGCCGCAGATTCAAAGTTAGGATATAAAAAAATTCATATCCTATTACTTGGTATAATATATTTCGTGCTGTGAAATATCTCAATTTAGTATGAAAACATGCCATACGCATCCTGGGGATGACCTGTTTTCGGAGTAAATTTGGAAAAATAGATGGTTGCTTATGAAATTGTTCGCATATTCTAATGATTACTTATTTAGATAAGGCTTGTTATTTTGTGGATGCTTTTTATCACATAGTGAGAGATTCAGAGAGTAGTTTTTTAGATGGTATATGCAAGAAGTAACAGTGAAAAAGTAACTGTATAAAAAAAGGTAAAAGTAACATTGAAGGAAGATTTTGAGAAGGAGTTGATTACAAATAATATGATATTTAATTTTAAAAGCTGGTGGCTGAAGTATTATTAGAAAAATGTATTATCAAAATGTTAATATGGAAACGCACGAAAGGAAAAACAATGGTGTCACGTGTCACGTACATTATAGATATTTTACTTATAAAAGTAATACATTTAGTAAATTTGAAGTATCTCCTTTGATTAGTGGTTTGCGGTTTATGCAAATAAATATTTACTAAGTGCAAAAATTTTTCTCTGTTCAAAAAGTGGCACCATAACAGCTAAGGAAGCATATTTTGGAAAAGTTGTCATAAACAAGCAAAATTGCAGACATCAAAAAAGGATTTTACAATATAAACTAAATGACTTCTTGTCTTTCAATAAAGAAATTTATAAGTGGCCCAGCAGAGATAGTTATAATTCAAAATATTTCTAAATCTATGCAAATATCCATGAATATATCGTCGAAGACTTAGTCTTTATTTAATTTCTAAATGGTAAATTATTAATATTCTCGCTTGTTAAAAGTAATTTATAACAATCATCTTAAGATTTTGTCCGAAAACAAATCATCTCCAAGTTCTAATAATTTTTTTAATTAAAAAATTAAGCGATGATATCGCACAGTTGCAATAGAATATTTTGTAACCAGTCGTATTTTATTATCAAAAAATAAAAATAAAAACTCCTTTCCAGTTTTGGTCTCTCCTTAAAAATTAGATTTGTAGGAAATGACGGATTTTCGAACTCATTGATTCAAATATACCTATGAATAATATACAAAATATACATTTAAAGTAAGTAATCTTTATTCTTATTGTGAGTGTGGAAAATACACATTTCTTTTTAATTTGGAAGAACTTGATTCATAAGGATGATATATAATACGTTTATCCCTATTACGTAATGATAGTTAATTAAATGAACGCTTCATCCGAATATCCACTAACTAAAAAATGGAGTTAGAAGTTACTTGTATAAACATGAAGGGAATTCTATCTTATTTCTAAAAATGTACTCCTCCAACTTGTTTCTGACAATCAGAAAACACCAAAAACTAAAACAAGATAGGAAAAAGAATACACTCATCTGACTTTTAGGTTCTGTATCTCAAAATAAACAGAAATGGAACTGTTCCACTATTTAAGTTAGGCATTCAAATATGAAATTGCGACCACGGAGTTTATGTTATACGCAAAATGGCTAGCTTAGTTCAAATCGGAAGATATACTGATGCCTGATTCGTACTTAGTAGATAACTGCCTCACCTATGCCAGGAAATAAAAACTTCACGTCGTAAGAATATCCTAAACAATCTTGAGTCACGAAATAAGATTTAAGATTCCTAATTTTTAGGGAAAGGAAATAAAATGTAAACTATTAATATTATGAAGTTGGGATATGCAATATTTATAAAAGACATTTGACGTTACCGTGTGATGGAATTGAATGCCTAACTTAAAAATTGCCATTGCGCCAAGCTGAAGCAGCATTACGCACTTAAATAAAGAAACCAAACATAAAATATGCATGGCGAGAAATAAAATAAAATAAGGGAAATTTAAAAAAAAAAATGAAAGATCACTATTTATAGAGTATGTTGGGGGCGTGGAAGTAGTGATAATGAAAATGAATCGATGCTATCAAAGTATCGATACTTTCCTTCGATTTTTGACCGCATAAGATACTTCCGTGGGACAGTATGACTCGTCGAGGCAATAACGACTTTCTTGACATAATAATAATATCAATATATTCCAATGAACTATATTTCCTTTACTTCCGTTTACAGCAATTTTCAAATCAAACTAGGCTACCGAATACTGCCGTGAAACTGAAAAGAGCAGCGTAAGTGTTTAACGAAACATTTGCACTCCTGTCGTATTTTTTCTTCAAAATACAAATTGTCGATTGTGACCTGCTGAAACACTTAGAAACTTAAACCGACATTTAGTAATAGTAGTTATATATTACAGCTACTTTAAACAAATGTTGTTATTTTGTTTCCTCTCCGTTTGAGTTGCTTCACAAATTTTATTATTATACTTGAAAATTTAGACTTTGGTTTATCCGAGCCATAATAAACTAAATTTAACTTCCTTAGAAAATATTTTGTTGAACTGTAACTTTAGCCAATGTCGCTCATGTATTACTGTCGGTAACAATAATCTAAAATATAGCTTGAAATTTAATAACGATACAATAAAGTGTCGATACTTTGTTTCGATTAAATTGAGTAGTATCGACACTTCGTTCGACTGATCAATTAATGCTCTTTCGATGTAAATTGCGGATTTTCTTTCATTGCTATGTCACTGAGTAAAACCAAGAAATAAAGATAATCAGTCAGTAAAATTGAAGAATAAACAAACGTAATAAAAAACGATTTAGAAGATTGTACAGACCATTTTATAAATTAATAATGTTTATCATTATTTTCATAAAATACCATCAGAAAGTAATTAGGTATCATCCATTTAAAATTTTT